CAGCGGGTCCCGCTTCTCACGAAGACGTTCCATGAATCTTCAAGCGACGGGAACAAAGCACAGCTCCATTGGTGTTGCTAGAGCCAAGCAGCACTGGGCCCACAACGCAAAGTTTGAGGCCAGCATCCTTCTGCGCTTGCAGGCGGCCTTCTGGACGTGATACCGGTGCAATGCTTCAGGAGGCGGTGTCTGCCGGCGAGGCCGCAGCGTCTGCAGCTGTGTCGGACAGAATGTTGGGAGTGTATTCCGGAAAGCATGCTTGGGCTTGGGTACCGAGTAAATGGTACCAAGCCATCAAAAGCAACGCAGCAAGATAGAATCCACGACCGCAATTCGCAGATCCAAGCAACCGGGTGCTTTTCGTACAGTATCCTCTGGAGGTTGACAGTGAGCAGATACCTATGTAACATGTCACGAAAGCTAGCTCCTTTGTGGTGCTTGCAGGAGTTTTTGTTTGCAACCTTCATGTTTTGGGGCAGACAGGGGTTCTTAATCCCTGATATCTCAAAGATTTAAAGTGTCGCTTGGAGGGCTCCCTCCCTCCTCCCTTTGGGATCCTTTGGGGTGCAGTAACAAGAAGGTGCCTTGCCTGCGGCGGGGCCTAAGGATGGGGGTTTCTCGATTAGGGAAGGGGCCCCATCCCCTCCTTGAAACCCCGCGCCCCCTGAAGTTCTTCTACTTATGCTGACGTTGACATACGGTACTGGCTCGCATTTCAGGGCTTGCAGTTCCGACTCCATCAGCGTGCAGGGATGTTGTTGTTGTGTCTGTCAAGCCGCAGCGTCACATGTGCAAGAATATCTGTTTTCTGCGTGCCAAGCCGCAGGGTTGTTGTTGTGTCTGTCAAGCCGCAGCGTCACATGCGCAAGAAAATCTGTTTTCTGCGTGCCAAGCCGCAGGGCCACTTGTGCGAGAATGTCTGTCACACGATTATTGTCAGAAGCTGTGGTGATTTTTGCGGTTCGTGCCAAGCCGTCGGGGCACATGTGCTGAGATATTTCTTTGGAAACCAGACAGTCACACCCTAGGATCCGCAAAATAACTACATGCGCACACAGCCCATCTGCGGGGACCTAGCTTTCGTCCACCTTGCTCTCAGGTAATGCAGCCTTGCAGCGTCGATCTTGTTTGTTGGTTTCAGGGTATTTAGGCTTCCTGGTTTAGTGACTTTCGAGTCGAGCTCTGCTGCAGGCTTCTTGCAGTTCGAGTGTACTAAGCTTTTGTTTCGACCTGCACTGTGCATCACACCAAACACCTGAATCCCAAAACAAGCCACTTGAGCCATTTGTGTCACCGCGTAGCAAGACCAAAGTCACTGCAAGCGCCATTCAGTGTGCATCAACGTACAATTTCTGAGCCGACGCTGTTATGCCTTGGCCTTACCCCTCAGCTAAGCGAATCCCAGAAAACCCAAGTCAATCAATTTCCCAGTGGAGCTCACATCCTTACCCGGGACGATGTCGAGGTTAGTACTGAAAGGCGTGAGGGGTCCCAACAGGAAGGACAAAAGCAACGGAGAGAAACCCCAAACCCTGAGGCCCTAAACCCTAAGGCCCTAAGGCCCCAAGAAAAACCCCGAACCGTGACTCTAATCCCCTCAACCCTTAACAAAAAGAGCAGCAACAACTAAACAAATTGCAAGAAGCATTCTCCACCCACGGAAAAGCAGCCATGCGAACCTTCCATCTGTGTCCCGGCTGTACATTCCCTACTGAATAAAGTTGTGTCCTGGTTTGTGAGAGGGAGCTCCATCAGGAGCTCTAGTGGTTATTTTGCTTCCTAGCTTGCCCTGATCTTCAGAAGGTCGCCTCGTTGCTGCTCGGGGCCTCCGATGTACGAAGGCACCGCACCTTGTCGCCACCGGTAGACAGTACCACGTGCCACAAAGCAGAGGATGGTGAAGGTCAGCTCTTGAGGCTTCAAGCGATGTGGAGCATTCCAGGCTTTTGCTGGAAGCTGCCGCTTTCGGTGCATTGTTGTGGGAATCCGAGTCGAAGGTGCGACTTTGATGTGCCCGCGCATGAGCAATCAGTTCCTGTGTGGTGTGCGCGACATTGCGAAGCCACGCGCTTCGCAATGTTCGGTTTGGGCTTCCCTCGTGAGCCTCGCATCTCTGTCAGGCTTCAGAGCTCGCCACTCTCGTACCATCAAAGCAACCACGCTGGAGCCCTGCATTCCACCACCTGCAATCCAGTAAGGATGCTCAGGTCGAACAGGTCGTGGATACTAGTGTGAGCGTCTATGCCGCAATGTATGCCAAGGCAATAGGTGTAGCGACTGGAGGCTTCAGAAGTTTCGTCAGAGCAATGTTTTTTCCTGCATGCCAGGCCACGTAGAGACGCTGTAGAGACGCGATTCTCGGAAGTCGGCGGCGTAGCATTTTGCCTGCAGCGCGTAGGTCTGCGTAGGGTCCGCGTAGGTCTGCGTAGGTTGTCGGTGTACAGTATGATATACATATACAATCATATACAAATAAATTTACAAACATAAATTCCGCGTGTAGACGCGGCGTAGGCTCCACGTAGCCCGCGCGTAGGCGCAGGTGCCATTTTCAAACGTCCTAGCCCATCCCGCAACATCACAAATCGGGTAGGGGGGAAAATTTGGGCAGGAAATCGGGCAAGGTTGGGCAGGAAATCGGACAGGGTTGAGCAAGAAATCGAGCAGAGTTGGGCAGAAAGTCTTAGGGTTTAGGGTTTAGGATTAGGGTTTAGGGTCAAGGGCTACAGCGCGCGCGTATGCGGCCAACCTTCTGAGCTACTGCTCCTGGCTTCTCTCGGCTCTGTCACCAGTGCAGCAACTTGAGCGACATCAGGGGTGGGTTCCTGGCGTGACTTTGCAAGCCAGTTGCAAAAAGGGTCAAGGGCTAAACAATACGCGTGCACTTTGTTCCTGGGCTTGCCGCGTAGGTCCGCATAGGCATGCGTCAACAACATGCTCCGCGCGTAGGCCGTGCGACTACTAAACATTATTTCACGCGTAGGCCCGCGTAGGATGTCAATGCCATTATAACACCTCAAACACAGATAAACACATGCTCTGGCTTCTTGAGCCACTTGGCGAAACGCTCGGGGCCCAGGTCTTTCTGATTTCGGAGTGGAAGCGGATGGTACGACACTTACTATAGTAGTACAGTCGTGGTGGGCAACCATCAGCCAAAAGCATAGTGTTTGGCAGGTGAGGGCAACCCTGTCATTCCTGAATAGGCCCCGCGGCCCTTCCACACACAGTTTCACAAGCTGTATAGTGTACATTGGCCGCTCGAGCGATGTGAAATTGTTTGCTGCAGTGAGATTCCAGCAGTTTCTGGCACGTATTGCGTCAGAAAAAGACAGTGCTTGTAGGCGATGACAGTCAGAATAGTTTAGGAGCTGCAGGTCAAGATTCAGCTCTAGCGAGAGAGTGAGCCCTAACGCCCATGTGGCTGCCAGGAAACAAAGCAGCCACCATCCGGAATGCGGCACCTGCAGCCTTAGCAGGCTGCATGACATGACCAGCTTGCAACGCTCATTGTGGGTAGTGCTCTAAGGGCTTCTCCCCATCATGCCATCGTCGAGTTCAGAGCCATGACTCGAAGGGGATGCGACACACGTGAAGAGACTTGATTAGTTGCAGGCTCGCGATGCTACTTCCGACCGCTTCTGCTGGTGTTGTTCATCCTAGTCGACACGGGGCAGGTCACTTTGATGTGCAAGCATTGTCATAGCTCCTGAGGTGAGAGCTGTATGACTTGCGAGCGCCAATCTGATCTTGGCTTGTGCACTAAGGTGTGTTGTGAAGACCCAGCTGTGAAACGAAGTTTGGCAGTTCTGGCCGGCGTAGTCCATACACCAAAACACCCTTAGCTCATGTTCCAAACATCCAAACACGAGTCAACCTCATGAAGCCTTCGCTCAGAGCTTGGAGTCCTGAAGAGCTTTGCCCAAAGACAGCGGGTCTCTTTCTATGATGTGTGGTTCCAGAGAGGTGGTTCGGGATCTGCCACTCACTCAGCATAATGTTTTGAGCTTTGAGAGGCCTTAGTGATGGACTGGGCGGAGAAGAGGTCATGGATGGAGGACCGAAGCGGTCCCCAGCAGCTTGGCGGCGCTAAATTGTACTCCTTCAGGTCGTCAATTGCTTTCGAGTCTTCCCCGGCATGAGCTGTGCTACTCGCACGGTGTGGTGACAGATGGCGGCAGCGTCCAAAGGCCCCTTAAAGCAAGATGCCATATTGGACTGCAACCGAAGCCAATCGCGCGCCAGTGAAAGATTGAACATGCCAAGATGGGACGGCCTCCCCCCCCCCTCCCCTCTGCTTGCCCTCCCTCTTCGGTGGCTTCAGTTTGGGCTTCGTGCCGAGGTGTCACAGAGGCGGCTAAGGAAGTATGGTTACGGACTGTATATTTGCTTCTTTAGCGCCATCCGAACCTAGCAAACCCGGCACGCAGCAACATGGTGGCGCTTTGACGGAGCCAGGCAAGATTTCGCAAGTTTCAGCGGAACACGTATGGGTCGTAAGGCGTTGCTCCCCATGTATGAAGGTCTCAAGACCGCATTCGCGCTCTTCGTAGCGTCGTTTCGACACCCTGCTTTTCATGCCTTTCACATCCTTTAGCGCGTAGCAAGTTGCCTCGCATGCAGTTGGTGTGCCCAAGCTACAACTAGGCATGTACTTGTAGCAGCTGAGATCAGGTGGGTGTCGGCTAATGTTGCACTTGATTGACACGTGACCTTGGGGATCGCTGAGGCTGGAGGCCTCCAAGCCTCCGGCTGGGGGGGGGGTGGGGCCCTAAAGGCTGACGCGTCGCAACCAGTTTTGTGGTTTTTTACACACCCCGGACCAGCTGAAGCTTCGTCGAGCAACCGCTCGAGGTTAAAGCTGAAGGCTTCAGGCTTGAGAGCGCAACCGCTTTGGGCCGGCCGAGGTATGTGGTAGGGTATGGTAGAGTGGAAGGGCGTTGTGGGCTGGTGGCATGTCGGTACTTTGAAGTCCCGCAGGTTCCGCAGCCTGCTCCAGCATGCCAATGTTCCGCTCTGACCGAACTGCATCCGCTCGCTTCGAGGTATGTGCGACAGACCGTGTTGGTTGTGGAGTCCGGGCTTTCTGTCATTACAGGCCCCTCTGTTCTGCATGGAAACCTGACATGCAAGTGGATGCACATGCCATGGCTTTGCGAGGTGTGACCTTAGCACTTGTTCTTGGTGGAGCTCATTTACTCCGCTCCTCCTTCTGGCCGCTCTTCTTGCGCGTGCCGAGCTTACGTGTCGCCGATGCTTTGCTTCATGGCCAGCATGACAGGCCGTCATGCAAAGACACGTAAGGACGACATAAGAAAGACCGACTCTAGCACGAGCTGCCAAGTACGTATTTTCGTGCTGGCTGTCCGAGAATGAGCCTGATGGCCGCAGTTTTTCCCCATTGCCGTCTTCTTCGCTGTCGGGCTGTCCCTCAAGATGAGTGCGGTCAACCATTTTCAGGCCAGGCGGCCTGACTTACGCGTCTTTTGCAGGTCTCTTTTCAAGAATGCGTGAGCCGATCTTTCAGCGGCGTCTGTGCATTTCCGTGAACCTGACAGCATGGTCAAGTCATCCGGGGGTCAAGCATGTTCAAGCTTTTCAGTTCGCCCTGTGCACAGGCCGGGACCATCAAGATTGTCGGTCAGCTGCGGTGTGCAGGCTTAGTAATTGCAGTCCTACACTGAGTGTTGTTACATGCTGCGAACCTGGGTTCCCGGCGTGCAAGTCGAGGCTAGCCTTTGTGGCTTTGGCCTCGACTTTCATTCTTTCGCGAACGTGAGCCAACATGGTGGGATACTGCTCAGCTGTGGAATGTGTGAACCTTTGCACCCTACCTCACTCGCCTCAGTCATGCATGGCCATCATGCATGGCCAGGTACACCGTCAAGCAATGGACCTCCATTGCTTTCGTGACGCTATTTTGCGTGCCACAGACTCATCCACAGACAGGCTTGCTGGCCTTGCATGCTGTAGTGGCTGACATGCAAAACATCGGTCTCATCTCCCCGCTAGCTGAGGTTGTTTGTCCAGCAGAAGGGCCAGGGGAGGCTCCGCTGTGCTCTGCGGTGCCCCCGCTGAAATCGGGCTGAGCATGTCATGTCTGTCAGGAGTCAGCTGGGAAAATCATGGAAGTGGACCGGGTGTGGCCCTCATCAGGGACATGGCAATGAACCACTGTGCTACTGGCATCTGCGAGCCCGTCGGGCATGACATGGCTGACTCCTAAGAATGGCAGGTTGTCTTGGAATTAGTTTTCAGGGTACATCTGCTTGCGTGTGGTCTTCACATGTTCTGCATTTTCATCATTCCCCTAGCCATCCTACATATACTCAGGTTATCTCAGCTTCTCGGATGGGTGTGCATGAATGTCGTCGGCGGCACTCTGGCTGAAAAGACGTGCCCTCCTTCCATGCTGCTGTGGATGGCGAAAGCAATTGAGAGCAAGTTACCCGCAAGTTGCACAGGTACAAGCGAAGCGTCGGCCCGTATTATGTCCAGAAAGTGGCACAGGCAGCTGCGCCCAGCACACCACCTGCCTCAGCGCTTCCACATTCTGCCTTTCTGGCAGTAGGACCTTGGACATCTCCTGACGTCCATGGTCATGCTTCTGGTGGTGAGTGGCTTAGTCGTTAGGCACTTCAGGCACCATAGCTATGTCATGTCGTGGACATGAAGTAAAGGCACCGCAAATTTAAAACTGTTGGTCGCAGGTTGTTCCGCGCTTCGATCCTGGCGAGGAGACTGTTTGCTGTCGCACCGAGTGGAGCCGAATCACTGGTCAGGTGGAAGACTGGTGGCTTGTGACGCAGAGTCGCACTCACATCAAGTAACGCTTCCAGGGATGCAGATGCACTTCGCCCTGGGTCTGTAGTCTTATTCTGGTCAAATCGATATACGATGCACGCACTGGGAACGAGTTGCAAGCTTTTCATCGCTTCTGCCATGACCGCCCGGCTACTTGTAGCTGAGTTGGCTCGCAGATCTCAGAACCTTGATGGTCAGAGAAATTGCGGGCACATCTCACCTGAACGCGCAGAAGACACATCATCACAACAGGATGTGGCTATGCCTCTCGCATGATGCAGAGCAAGACCCCAATAACGCACTTCTCATGTCTGAAGCATGGGGAAGTGTTGCTGTGTCGGATCGGGGTGCCGTTTCGTTGTGATGTGAATCCATGCAGCTGTGCTGTTCGTTTTAAGCACCAACCGTTTGCGAACTGCAATGGAGCCCATCTTGGAGACCGAAGAAGGTGAGCTGCAGACATTGCAGAGCCCGCAGACACTTCCGGTGTAACTTGGACGGAAGTGTTGAGGAAAAATGCGGCATCGCTTTAGGAGACATGAGGGTGTCATTGTGATGTGAGGCGTTGAGTCCACAGGTGTAGGATCAATTGGAATCTTTGCCTACAGCAAGTGCTTCCCAGTACAGACATGTAGACGAACCATTGCCGCTATGCCTGGCAAAGTGGAGTCCAAGGTCCTTGGGACCACCTGGATACACTGCTGAGTCGAGGGAGCCCCTCAGCGCGGGCCCCACGAAATGGTGACTTTTTGGTCCTTGGGGAATTCTGTGCCCGGTCACGGAGTCACAGTGGAGTCACACGGTCGCGGCCATTCTGTTCCAAGTTGACATTCGGTGCTCAGGCAATGCTGCAGGTGCAGACTTGAACGACCCTTTGGGCTTCAGCCACGACCTGAGACAACTGCAGTACGTGTACACTTTGTATGGGCTTCCGCAGCAAGCCATCAAACCCTTCACAAGACTCAATCGGGCCGTGAGTTGACAACGTCTACTATGATTGGCTGTAAAGCGGAAAGAAGCCTGATGTTGTGCTCACTCCAAGTGTTCCTACATAGTAGGAGGCGGGCTCAGCCAACATGCCTTCTCACGCTCAACAGTGGTAAGCATTGTTTGGTCTGGTCATGCCTTGAACTTTACACTGGCAGCATGGAATTCCTTGCACACAGGCTCAAGAGTCAAGGGCCGAAGGTAGGTACATGGCAACGTTGCTGGGCATTATCGAATCGAAGTTGTGAAGCAGACTGAAGGTAGATGAGGTGGCTGCTAACAGTTTTGCTAACATTCGGCTCACTTGCGTTGACCGGCTCCCAGTCTACGGGTGGCTCCAAGAAGTGCAAAGGCAGCTATGCCAACCCAGTCGTCAACTTATGCTCAGACCATTGGCCCGATGCCAAATCAACTCGTGTTTGGATGGTCGTCTTCTATACATCTTGGTGCGGGCACTGCCGTGCTTTGGAGCCTAAGTTCAAAGAGCTCGGGAAGCTCTTGAAGAACGACAAGAGCATTGGCATCGGCGCAGTGGATTGCGACATTGATAGGGCTACATGCTCCAAGTATGGGGTCTCGGGCTTCCCTGCCCTCAAGGCGATCATCAGCGGAAAGGGCAAGTCTTACAACGGCGCGCGGGAGACAGAGCCAATGAAGGCATGGATCGAGGGAATCGCCAAGAATCGAGGAACCAAAGGCGGCAGCGCCAAGTGCGCAGTGGGAGTCTTCAAGAGCCGAGTGAAAGATGCAGTGGTGCCACTGTGTGAGGAGCATTTTCCAGATGACAAGGCCAAGAATGACTGGCTCGTCCTTTTTTACAACTCGAAGACCGGCGCAGATTTGAAGGAGGTGTTTCACAGACTTGCTGTCGACTTAGGAAATGACCCTCCTGACATGAGCAAGAGTCTCAAGAAGCCCAAGAAGAAGCGTGAGCGGCTTGAGGCCCTTGCAGAGAAGTACGAGTTTGCAGTGGACTTGCCCAAGAAAGGACCATTTGGGATGGATGCTTTGGCGAAGGTGGGTGGTGTCTGTTGCGATTGCAACGAAGATGCTACGGCATTTTGCGCGAGCTCCCTCAGAATTGGCGAAGAAGACTTGCAAGCTCCACAAGTGTTTTGGGTCTCAAAAGGCCATCGTGAAGTACTCAAAGATGCGGAAATGACAGCGGAAAGCCTCAACAAACTCGCAGCCGCCAAGTTGGGGTTCCTCTCCAATGGTGCCAAGTCCGAGCTGTGAGAATCCATGGGGCCATGGGATCCTCCTATAGCGATACACGAGCTAGATGAACACACGGATGCGCGATCCCGAACAAAGTAGGACGATCTGTAACAGAGAGCAACATACCATCGTTCTGGGTTTAGCGTAGTCAACAATCGTTCCATGAGTGGTGGGTGTTGGCAGACAGGAGACGCAGTGCACACAACTCAACCGCATAGTCCACCCCCCTCCCCCCCGCACGGAAGAGCCCAACCAGCAGTAGTTTTTCAGAGAAGCTGTTTCACCATACCAATCGTCACCCGAACAGCAGCACAGACCGCGTGCGACGCTGCAAAGCTTTGCATTGGTTGAACAAAATTGTGTGGGCAAGGTGGGATGCTGAGATGCTGCCATCGCAGTTTTCAACAGTGGTATCCTGGCACGTGGGTGCGAACATCTGACGGCACGGAGCATCTGTCTCTGAAATGGGTGGCATGACTTCAGCGAGACAGATGGACTCTTTGGCATGTCCTTGTGTGGCCACACGGATCCGATGAATCTTCTGGGTGTCTTGGTTTTTAGAGCTGGCCCATGTCGCAAGCAAGGAGCACATGCCCCAAACCAACCGCTAAGCCTCTAAACAAGCGGATATCGCTACTCCGCTACTCTCTGCTTGTTTCCAGTTTGTGCCTTCTGGGCCGGTCTTGAAAGAGACAAAGGGGATGAAGAACGTTATGTTCAATGCTCCTTTGCGCTTGGATTCTGGATTGCTTCGAACTTTGGAACCCTTGGCAGCAGGCAACGACGAGGTACCAGCAGGTTGCCGTGGGGCTTGCTGTTGCATGCAAGTTGCATGCAGGTTGCATGCAGGTTGCATGCAGGTTGCATGCAGGTTGCATGCAGGTTGCATGCAGGTTGCATACTGTTGCGCCTGAAATCCAAATTCCAAGCTGCTCCCATCTGCTCTCAAGCTCAGCTGCCTGTCTGAGCCGAGGTCTTTCCGAGGCGAAGGATGTCTACGGGAGAGTGGAGGACCACACTGCAAGCAGTGGCAGCAGCAGCAGCCATTTGAATCTCTGTGGAAGAGGCAAGACAGCACTTACAGTTCCACACTCAATATCGCTCAATTCTATTGCGCGGAGGCGCTGCGTTCGTACAAGCAGGTTGCAAACTGAAAGCCTGGTTCACTTCAGCTGCCTGAGCGGGGTACTTGTCCAGGATTTGAGGGGGGAGGGTGACTTGCCCTGTGCTGTTGAGGTGGGGGGGTTGTGGGGGGCGGTGGCTGCCGGCGGTTGTGGGGGGGGGGTTTGGGTTGGGGGAAGGGGTACTCTTGCCAAACGTACTGAGAGGGAGTTACTAGTCCCCCATCCCTTCCGCGGTCTCTTTGAATGCGTCCTACATCATGTCTGGTTCCACTATTTTGCTCTTTACAGCTGTTTCGGTTGATGCTTTAAACTGTGCTTCGCTTTGAGCTTTGTGAGATCTTCTGTCTCCACAGCATGCTGTAATTGAGATCGCTGGGCAGATCTTGGCAGGAGTGCGCGAAGCTTGTTATGAAGCATCAGAATCAGGCCGGTCCTACTTACTAGTAAATGATCGTGCACGTACAAAAGGTCTGTTGCCCTTGGGTGGAGAAGTTGGGCAAGACCGGCCAAATCTGCACCTATCACACCCGCTATGGGCAGGTCAAGAACCTTGAAGAGCGAGAACGCAAGAAGGCAGGCATCTGCGAATATTTTGTCCAGAGGTGTATACCAATGTATTTACACACGCACACTCACATATTGGACATGCCCATGTCCCTAGCATACTGTAACATCGAATAGCCAAAGATAGCTAAGTGAAGTCAAACTGAGTGAAGAATAGAATAGAGGGTTCTGGAGCGGGAGAGTGCAGCAGTTTCCAAAAAAGAGTTGGGAAGGCATTCGGGCTTGTTGCATCGCTGCGCGTGCACCATGTGAACACCTTGCGATGCTTGCCAGACTATCGAGCTGAACGCTTCAAACCAGGCCGGTGCCTCATAGGCTGTGTGGCCCTTGGGGCCCCTTATCAATGACACGCTGATGACATTTGAGTCTATGTGCCGTTTGCCTAACTCTTTTACAGATGCGCCAGGAAGTGCGCCAGTTGAAGAAGCAACTTGCCGTCGTTACGGAAAGATTGGTAAAAGCCGAAGAGAGCATCAAGGCCACATGACATGCAGTTGTAGCTTTGACGGATCACACATAATCCACGTTTAGACACTTAGCAGTTGCGAGTGCCATCTTGCGAGGAAGCTCGAGAGAAATGTTTGCCTCCGGAGGCCATGTGCGCACACTAGAGTGCACCTGTCTGATCTGTCTTCGAGAGTTCGCAGCTTTCTGTACCCTTCCCACAGGAAGTGGAGCAACTCATGATGAGGCTCCTCTGCGAAGAAGCTGAAAAGCAGCTTTGTGAATGTGTGTGTGTGCGTGTGTGCATGTGGATATGCCCACTAATGCGTGGTTGGCATGTAGATGGCTTCGCAAAGTACTGTCTATTTCGAGTGACCTGCTATGCAACCCGCATGGCAATCCGGGGAGCTCATTTGTTGGGATGTATTTGGTTAAATCCTTTCTTAGGTGCAGGAAGATGGGAGGCATGTTTGTTGCAACATATACACATACAACATCTCATTTGGCAAAAGCAGTGTCTTGAATTTGGCAACAGCAGTGTCTTGAATTGTTTGTGGCGTTTTACGGACAGTTCAATTAAGTCAGTTGAGTCTGATGAGCATTGCCGCTGATTGGTTCTTGGTCTGCACGACAGCCGTCAAGAGACAGCATGACAGAATGCAGAGGGAGGCTCCTAGCAGCGCGCCAATGCGCGCCATGCGCAGCACGTGGCAGGCTTTCAGATTTCGAGTCCCTGGCGACAGGGAGTTTCGTGCCTGACGTGTTGTCGGACTGGAGTGACTGGAGTTGTGACTTTTCCATCTTCTCCCTTTCTTGAGCATGATTTGTGCATTCAACATCCTGATCCTCGTCTGTCAGCCGAATGCTGATAGTGGATGCTAGTGAAAAGCTAAATTGCTGGGCATGTGGAGGATTCCGTGGGGTCTTTCTTGGCGATGACAGGGCAAGCAGCTCAGAACTTGCCTTTCAAGCTCTAGCCATGTTTATTCAAGCATGACCACTGTGGCCAGTTGCGCCACACCGCAGCCCGGGAACCCCGAAAATATCCTTCGCTTCGCTGTGCATGTTCCCGATTGGGGTGAGAATGCCTTGCCCGCATGCCCCTGAGCTAGACAAGGTCCAAATCTCGAAGTGCGTTGGATCCTTACATTTGTGGGAGCAGGAAGAAGGAAGCATTGATGCAGAGGGTGATGCAAGACCTCACGTTCTGTTCGCAAACAATTTCCAACGGATGCCGATGACATTGAGCCACTTGAGCCAATTGAGCCAGAGTTGATCAGAGTCTTTTTGGGAGGCTTGGCTCTCCGTACACCCAGCTGGATGGGAGCGAGGTGGTGCAGGAGAGCTACTGGATTACCTTGAACATCCTTGCACAACAGCGAATCTCGACATGGGCACAAGCACTCAGCTCACAGATGCATTCGGCTGCTTTTGAGAGGCTGGCGACACGCAAGAGCTTGTGAATACAGCCGCCCGAGCTCGCGCCTTGGTGCCCCCTGCAGATCATTGCATCCATGCCTGCCAGCAACCAGTCAGTGTTGACAAGTTGACCCAACGGGCATGTAGTTATGTTCAGTGTCTCGGCAGCCTTGGAAGCAGGAATCAAAAAGACCGGGGTTCGTGAGCTGCTGACATGTCGTAGTGACGTACCGCTAGTAACGAGACTTGGCTTCGAGGTTTCTCAGCTGCGTAGCCGCGGATTGCAAATCAAGAAACTGCAAAGCCCAGCCACTCGAATCTCGGAGAACCTTCCGAAGCTTCCTGCATGCACTCCAGCAAGGCCTGATTTTCAAATCTGTGCCCTGCACTGCCCTGCACCCCTTCAGCCAAGTCATACTGCATTCACCCTAATTTTTTCATGCGTGCTTGCGCACTCCGTCGACGCTCAACGCATGCTTTTTCCCGGTTTAAGCAGAGTATATATCAGAACAGGTTGTCCAGCCTGCATCAACCACGCATGCACAGGCACGTCAACAGGCAGACGCTTAATGAACTCTGGGCGCCATGCTCATACGGATCTTCCGTCCACAGCACCTTGGGCCTCCAGTCACTTCTTCTCCTGCTGCTTCGGCCGCTCGCTTTGCGTGCGACCGACTCGTCTCTCAAGCGCCTGCTTTACATCACTGAATCACATCACCCCTGCTATGGATGTGCTGTTGGCCAAGTTCTACGTCACTGGGTGCCTGCACCCTTCCAGACAAAGGTCTGACCTGCGAGTTGAAGTCACTGGAATTGGAGCGACTGACTATGCGGAACGGTGCAAATGACGGCACGTATTGCCGGAGCGTTGTCACCAGGTGCGAAAGGAGTCTCATTACCGGCGGTTACGCTTAAACAGATTTTTGTGAGAGTAGATAACATCCGAAGGCATGTGTGTTGAGCATCCCCATGACAAGGAAGGGCGTTGTTGGTGTAGAACGCTTGAAGTGCCCCTTCCCTGTGAGGGACCTGTAGGGCACTGTAGGGCCACTCGCCACCAACAACAGAAACTCCGAATGTCTGGACATGTCGCATGTGTACTGCCATGTTCCGCGCACGCCGACTGCACAGACGATACAGATTGAACACAACGATTCCGGCATGTCGCACGTGAGCGTTGAGTCCGGGGACTCCAAGGCACAGGAGGCTGAGGAAGAGGCGGGCTTGTGGTTGAATATATTGGAGCTGACGTTGTGTTGGAGATGTCGGACATTGCATTTGCCGAGCATGACAGAGCCAGGCCAAGTCGACCAAGCAAAAGTATTTGGCTGCCATGCTGGAGGTCGAGGCTGGTAAGCTCCTGCAAGCTCTAGGTTCTGCGTCTAGTCTTGTTCGAAGCTTGGCTCTTGTTCGTTCGATGATGCCAGCTGTGCTCGGAGGGCTACAAAGAAGAGGTGGACAAAGCCAATGCAGCAGCTGATGCATTGATTAAGGCACATTCGGCAAATGTCTTGTGGTGATGGCATGGCGCTTAAAACATGTTACTGTAATGTATGTGTATTGTATTGTACACCACTTATGTCTATATGCCGTCTCGGAACATGTTCTTGGCATTCCCGCCAACTCTGCTATGGAACTACTTTGGCAATTCAAGATGTGCAAATGCGGGGGAGTGCCTGCCAAGTGCGTTGCAAGTAAAACAACTTGACTCGAAGGCAAAGGAGGAGTTGGAGGAAGAGGCTCCGTTGCCAAACGAGTTGTGCCAGCACGGGCCAATCGAACAGCTCGTAGCCTTGCTTGTGTCCTGCCATGAAGGGGTTGTACTAGAGTGGTGCAGCCAGGCAAAATTGATGAAGCAGAAGCTTGATGAGGCCATTGCGGGAGTCGAGGCGGGTGTCATCGAGAGGCATCAGGTTCTGAAGACAAAGGTTGGTGTTGCTAGTGCATCTTGCTCAGCACAGTTTTGGCCATTTCAGTTCCTTGCCTGTGAGCTGTCGGCCTTGATTTTTCCTTCGTAACAGTGTAGCATACCTCGCGCATGTATTGGAGTCTGCTCTTTGTTGTGCGTGACGCTTTTTCCTTGCGCGCTGCTTGCTTGCCAACCGTCTTGCAGAAAACATGAGTGCACAGGGGGAAGCTTTCGGACATCATCCGGTGTTTCAGCAAGATGCCCCATTGCCCTTGATCTCTTCAGGGCCAGAGAGAAGAGGCAGACAAAGCGAACGCATCGGCTGACGCGATGAAGAAGGCAGTGCGCAATGTGTGCTCGCCAACGCCGCCAAGTGCATGTGACACCGTACAAACGGAGGTCATCATGAGTAGTCTAAAGCACGTGACTCGAAGGCAAAGGAGGAGGCACAAGAGGAGGCTCCTTTGACGATCATGTCTGTACCAGCACGGGCCAACCTGGGTTCTGCCATGAACGGGTTGTACTAGAGTGATGCAGCCAGGCAAAACTGATGAAGCAGAACCTTGATGAGGCCATTGCTGGAGTCGAGGCGGGTGACAGACGAAGGTTGGTCGTGTTAGCGCATTTCAAGTCTTTACCTGTGAGCTATTTTTGCCCATGGGTTGAACCTCCATCGACAAGAGGTTTTTTCTAGATCTCTCCGGTTCTCGTGAGACGATCAGCACACACACGCACATCATCACGCTGTCAACATGTTCGTTCCTTGCACGACTATTGTGCACGTCTCGTCTCGCAATACGTTTAGAGACACAATACAAGGAGGGTCGTCCAGACATCATGTTGATGATGGTGTATACGGTGCCTCACGAAAATGATTCACATAGCCCCCTCATGTCGCGAAAGGCGAGGGTTCCTGGACCCTTCAGCTCATCAGCACTACCCAAGCTCGCGGTATCCGCAGCTTGGAAGGCTTTCCACTTCCTTGATAACTGGCTTTGTGTCGCGCCCAAAAACGCTTCCACACGGGCATGCATCAGGACCGGACCATTTGGATGGAAAACTCATGGGAATGCCGGCAACACATAGCCGCATAGTGACGCAGTTATAGCACTCGCGTCATCTCGTTTTGTTTTATTTTCCAAGTCTCTCGACATCCGCTTTCCACTGCCAGTTAAGCAGGAATGCCAGGAATGCTCGGTCGCAAACTTGCCAACAACAAGTTCCCAGCACGGATGCAGTGTGGATCTCGCTATGCGTTTGATGCTAGAGATGTGACGTCACGCGGTTTGATGCGATTCCACGCTGTGCCACATGCCCTTGCCGTACGATGACGCAACAATACACAGCACAGAACGAACGGCCGCGCTTGATAATGCCAATGTCTTGAGGCCTACAAAGATGAACTTGACAAGGCAAACACACTGGCCGCCACGATCAAGAAGGCCGTCTGTGTGTCTCGTGGGTTGAGCACCTGTAGTGCAGCATTGGCGTGGATTTAGGAGCTGGACACATTGGGCAGAGAAAAGTCTAAAGCCAAGCGTGAGGTGCAGCCCGGAGCTCATTTGCTGTTCTTGGCGGTTCAATGAACTGAAACCCCGGACCCTCTGCAAGCTCAAGCAGATCCAGTGGAACCCTCCATGTGCTCACGTCTTTTGAACAGTATGAAGAATTTTTAGAGGCACCGTCAGAGGCTCGGAGGGAAGGTCCGTTCCCGTGACAATGTCTTTTCGTCGCTTGTCATTTGTGCACAGGCATGCTGCTTCTTTCTGTATGCCATTCACACAGCAGTCCTCGCATGCTCGCATGTTGGGCTGGGCAGTGACTGGTGGTTGTGAAAGCATGTGACACGTGCTGCCAAGGACGGTGCAGAATCTTTGTCAAGCCGTGCACCAGGATTTGCTGAAGGAGCAGCGGAGGTGCGACATAACTCCCATGTCGGTCAAGGTTTCTTCACGCTGGTCTGATGATCATTGCATCATCTTGCACGCGTTGCATCCCAACGCACCAGGTCACGCACCCTACGTGAGGAGCTTCGACGGGCCAAGGCCGAAGGAGTCTGGCGTCTCAGGATTGTTCAACAACGTTCTGCGATGTTCTGTGATGTTCTGTGTGTTTGGTCTGACCCCGGAAGCAGTTTATTTTCTGAGTCTGGCTTCTTACCTTAGGTTGCCTCTTCCTCTCCATTGTCATTCATCCTTCTTGTTCTTCCACATCCCGTCGGCTCCAAGATCTGAACCTAAGCCGGCGCTGAATCCGATTACCCCAGTCGGGCCAGTCTGGAAGCCTCCTGAAATGATGTCGCTTTTGGAGATCCGCTTCTTCCTGCCCGTGCCTCGACACTCTGGCAACCACGCGTAAACATACTCTAGAAGCACAATGAGTCCAAATCCGGTAGAAATACCGTCTGGAAGCCCCATCGAAGCACGATATGAAAGCACTGTAGAGACACGACCTGAAAGCGCAATAGAGGCACGACTTTAAAACCCTGTAGAAACACGCTCGGAAAACACTTTTGAAGCACGTTACCAGAAAACGACTGGGCATGATTCAGGAACCGCGAAGTTGTGTTTTTTGAACACTATCATATTCCTCAATGATCTAGTCGCACCTCGAGAAAATGCCATAGAAATTCAATAGTCGACTAGTTTTGAAAGCTGCAGCAGAAGCACGATGTTCGAAAACCCTCATGCTCATACATGCATATATATATATACATGGAGAAACATATGCATACAGATAGCTACTGTACATGTGGAAACATGATGAAAATCACTTCGGAACTGATTTGTTTCACGGCGCTGAAGCACGGCCCTCGGATCTCATGGAGTTTTTGATCTGAAGCCCTTCGAGCCTGGCCTGGTCCGAAACGTCTGAGCTGATAAGACCTTCTAGCCCAGAAGAAGCCTTCATTGATGCACGGTGCGTTTGATGCCGCCTGAGTGAATCCAGCAGCCTGAGGTTCTCAACCGTGTGGTCGACAAGCAAGTCTGCTCTGGAGGCGGTTGCAGTGCGCTCTTGGCAGTCTGATGTAAGCCGTTTCTTGGCAGTGGGCCGTTCAAGTCGAAATAAATTCGTGATGCCTTGGTGGTGCTTGCGCAGTTTGCTTTCGGCTGTCTTGGCTGGCAGTTGCATGGCATGCGGCAATCCACCCACCCACAATGGAACTTCTTGGAGCGTCTCCTACAGAATCCCTGGCGCCCTGATCACGAGGGTGTACAGGAAATTCAACATGTGTTCCAGGCTCTCTCCAGAACGATGAGGCCAGCGGCTCAGAATCACTCAGCAGCGGTCTGTGTTGGCCAAGTTTATGCTAGTTCATGTGTTTGCGAATGAAGCCGTCATACGGATCGGTCCGTCAGACTACAGCGCAGAGAGACTCTGCAAGTGGGCATTGCAATAAGAACATCCCTCCATACCTCCATGAAGTGTGATTCAGTAGATGCACGCAGCGTATGGATGCACTGTAGATCGAAACGCCTTTTGTAGCGGACCAGGACTTACCATTGTTTCTCCCGCACCCAGACATGCCGCAACATGCCTCAACCGATCTTCAGTGCTTTGAACCTCTTTTGAAACGCACGAGTATGATGGATAGCGCGCCTGCTCGTGTGCTTTGCCTTCTGCGGGGCCCCACACTGTACTGTAGGTGTCGCACAATGACAAAAGCGATGCTGATGCCCGGGCTTTGCACTTTGAACGTCAAGCGCAGCAGGCGAATGGGGCCAGGATTGGTCTGAGCAAGTCGTAGCAAGTCCGCCGATGTGGAAATTTGATCTGGTGCAGGCGCAGGCCTTGCTTGATGACTCTCGGGCATCTCTGCAGCAGATGAAGGCACCAAGAAGTGAAGAAGCCGTGAGCAGCAGAGCTGCCAGAGCTGCCCCAAAGCATCCCAAGAGCGTCACCGCAGGCACATCTGAGGGCCTTGGAAAAGGAGGACAGCTGGAGCTTCAACACGAGCTCTTCAACAATCTTCAACACTTGTCTGACTCTCTGACCCTGAGGACAAGTCAAAGGAGCTTACTCCCGCCCCAGCCTCAAGCTTGGCAGGAGAGTACAAAGCAGCAGATGCCCGCCGTGCCGCAGGAAGCCACGACTTTGGTCCGCGAAGAAATCGCCGCAATGGGCTCCAGAGCTGTGGAGCTGCAGGACTTGATGTTCGCTATTTGGAATCATATGGAATCATGAAAATTTCGAACTCCATAACTCGACAAGTGTAGTTTCGGAGATGATGCAAGATGACGCACTCATCGAACCAGGAGCACTTGGAAGAAGAGATGGCTAGCTTGGATGCTGTTATGGCCGCACACGAAGAGGCGCCATCGATTTGCAAGGAAGGGGCATCGTAACTGATCCAACGTTGTGCTGGGCAGGTTCTGGAGGTGGTCGACAGCCTTGTCTCCGAACGGTCGGAGCTGCGGGCAAGGCCAGGCTTCCATCGTCTGGAGCAGAGCGGACAAGGCCCCTGCATCAGCGTTTGTGCACTACGCAGGCTGGGACAAAGTGAAGCAGAGATTGGCCAAATTCGCTCAGAGCTTCAGAATGCCACCGCCGCTGCACAAAAAGCAGAGGCTCGAACATTGCTTGTGTTTCTTAAGGCAGATCCGACACAGGAGGGATGGGCCTCAACCTTTGGTGAAGCATCGATGAGATTCGTCGAGTATCGCAGAATGAGCTTGAAATTCTGTAGTTAGTTGAGCTATTTAGCTGTGGAGGCAACCAATCTGGAACTGGTGGCCACGCTGAAGGACTCCCAGCATCAGGCTATGCTTTGGTACTTCTTGCTTCCTGATTCGTTGTGATTTCGGTTCGCGCAGCCCTAGAAGTAGGTGTTGGCGTGCTTTCTTTGCTGAGCTGCACCGTCAAGCATTTTGACCTTGGGCTTTACTGGGCTTTCGGTGGTCCATACGTCATGCAGGTGGAGGACAAGAACAAAGAACTCATTACCGCTCAGGAGGCTTTGAAGGCTGGCCACAGCTTGGCATCAGAGCGACTGTCCTCCTTTCTGCAAAAATAGTCCCGATCTGTGATTGTGGGATTTTGGAGGCAAAGCAGGCGGCGGAAGAGGAGGTTGGCCGACCACGTTAGCACGCAGTTAGGGGAGCAGAGCTACGCGACTACCACGCGGTAAGTCGCGCCTATAAATATACATGAATAAATAAATAAATAAATATAAATATATATATATATATATGCATATAGTTCCAGCCAGTTCAACCACTCCCGTGTTGCTTCGCATCCCATTGTTGAGCGATTTTGCTCGTGTGTCCCCCATTGTCGGCCTGTACAGTATCCTTCCCTGGGCAGCACCAGCGGAGGGAATTAGAGTTGACATGTGCCATGCCTTCCATCCTGTGTTGCACAGTGTGTCTCGCATGTCTTGAAAGGTGATGTTTTTGAGTGCAGTTGTTTTCAGTGATAGCAGTGCTCGACGGGCTACAAAGATGGTTGTCTCAATCATGCATTGTGCCATATGAGCCGAGCCACCTTCTTCCGTGTAGCTTTGGCAGATGCGGTGCCCTTCTCCGATCTCTTCCTCATGTATTTGTTGATGACAATAAAGGGGCGATCACGTAGAAATTGTTCTGCAGTGAAAATACTTGGACCATGCACTGCGCAGTCCACATTCCACAGCACGACATGCTTATTCCAATGCATGTCTCGATGGACCCAGTGGTTTTTTCTGTCGGACCCCATTTACATCGATCTTTGACACGCACTCGTAGAATTGGAGTAAGGCACCGCGCCTGTCAAGCCACGGGGAAGAACGTGGTTCCGCATTGCAAGCCAAGCCGAGTCGAAAATCCTTGTTACATGCCCGTTCTTGAGGTCGTCAACAACCTTTCCGCGGAGCGGTCGGATTTGCAGACCAGGCAAGGCTTTCGTCTTGGACAGCCCGCACGCTGGGCTGGTCTTTGTGCTCTGCAGGCTGGAACACAGCGAAGCAGAGATGGGCCGAATTCGCTCCGAACTTGAGAATGCCGCTGCTGCTGCCCAAAAAGCAGAGGCTCGAATCGCGCCTTTGTTACCTGCACGATATCCATAGCAGTAGGGGGTGGGCCTCAACCTTTGCTGAGGTATCGATGGACATGCGTGGGGTATCGCTGAATGAGTTTGAAATGCCATAGCTGCCATAGTTTAGCTGCTTAGCTGTGGAGGCAGCCAATTTGGAACTGGTGGCCACGCTTAAGGACTCCCAGCATCAGGCTTTTCATGTGGTAGTCCTTGCCCGGGGCTCCGTTTTGGCTTTCGGTGGTCCACACGTCATGCAGGTGGAGGAGCAGAAGAAAGAACTCACTGCCAGTCTGGAGGCTTTGCAGGCTGGCTACATGCGTCCGAGCGGCTGTGCTCACTCCTGCAAGAGTAGCTGAACAAAGCATAAGAAAACTGGATTTTGGGACTTGGAGGCCAGGCAGGCGGCGGAAGAGGAGGCGCGTTGGCCGACCAAGTTCATTCGTTTAGCATATATATATATATATAGATAGACACACACACCTTTATGGATACGTATATGCGTGGCAGAGTGTCTGGCTTACTTGAGCATGCGTGAGCTGCCGAGCATTGCAGAACCAGGCCAAGCAGAGCTATGCGACGGCCATGCTGGAAGCCGAGGCCACAGTTTCAGCCGGTTGAAAACACTCCCTTCCTGCTCCACATCCTTTGGTTTGCGTTTTTGCCCGCCCGTCCGTCATTGATTGGTGGTTTCTTCCTGGAGCCTTTCGAGCTATCCCTCCCTCGTGCAAGAAGCCGTGCATCACTGCATGGTAATCAAGAAGAGGGCAGTGCCAGCGGCTTCAGTGATGCCAGCCCTGCTCGGAGGGCTCCAAAGAAGAGTTGGAGAGGGCCAGCGCATCTGCAGAAGCAATGCAGGAGGCCGTTGGGGAAGCTGCATTGCTGAGCCGTTTTTGCTGAAGTCAGCCATGGCTGATGGCCCTGTAGACCCTACGAGTCCCGCACCCTGAGAAGTACTTCTAAGTCAAAGTACAATTGGAAGAGGATGTGACAGATGTGACATATAGCGGTGTAACCTCCACAGTTTCACTTAGCACACAAGTGTGTCAGAACATCGTTTCAAAGTTTCAACTTGGCCCTTCCTTGCTGATGGGCACCATGCCGATCCCAATGTCAACCGACCAAGGCAAGCCGAGTCGAAAATCCTTGTTACATGCGTTCTTGAGGTCGTCAACAACCTTTCCGCGGAGCGGTCGGATTTGCAGACCAGGCAAGGCTTTCGTCTTGGACAGCCCGCACGCTGGGCTGGTCTTTGTGCTCGCAGGCTGGAACAAAGCGAAGCAGAGATGGGCCGAATTCGCTCCGAACTTGAGAATGCCGCTGCTGCTGCCCAAAAAGCAGAGGCTCGAATCGCGCCTTTGTTACCTGCACGAGATCCATAGCAGTAGGGGGTGGGCCTCAACCTTTGCTGAGGTATCGATGGACATGCGTGGAGTATCGCTGAATGAGTTTGAAATGCCATAGCTGCCATAGTTGAGCTGCTTAGCTGTGGAGGCAGCCAATTTGGAACTGGTGGCCACGCTTAAGGACTCCCAGCATCAGGCTTTTCATGTGGTAGTCCTTGCCCGGGGCTCCGTTTTGGCTTTCGGTGGTCCACACGTCATGCAGGTGGAGGAGCAGAAGAAAGAACTCACTGCCAGTCTGGAGGCTTTGCAGGCTGGCCCCATGCGTCCCTGTCCTCCCTCCTTGTGTTTTTGAGTCTTGGCGTGTCTCACTGCAACAGTAGCTGAACAAGATTGAACAAGCATGCTCTGAGAGCAAAGTGCCAGTGCGGCTCCGCCTAGACATGATTTCGGCAGTGCGTCGTCAGTTAACCTGACATAGTCAACCTGACATGGTCCGACTCGAAGGCAAAGCAGGCGGCGGAAGAGGCAGCGCACTGGCCGACCAAGTTATTGTAACGTTGTTTAGCACATGGTGTCTGTAGTCAGGCAATGTCAGGCATGTACTTGGCTGCGGCCTTGCAGAGCCAGGTTGGGCAGAGCCCTGCGACTGACCAGCTAGAAGTCGAGGCTTTCGGGCTCGCCTTCAACTATCCAATTGGTTCGAAGCTGTGAAACACAGGGTTTGTGATCAAGACAAAACAGGCAGAGCCAGCGGAGAGAATTGGCATTTGGCACACGTTCCGAACACATTCCGCTGTAATTCATTGTACAGCGCAGTACTTTGATGTATGTTTCAGAGCACTCTGCTCGGAGGGCTACAAAGAAGAGTTGGAGAGGGCCAACGCATCTGCGGAAGCAATGAAGGAGGCCGTTCGGGAAGCTGCATTGCTGAGCCATGATAGCTGAAGTCAGCCATGGCTGATGGCCCTGTAGACCCTGCGAGTCCCGCACCCTGAGAAGAACTTCTAAGTCAAAGTACAATTTTTAAGAGGCCGTGACAGATGTGACATATAGCGGTGTAACCTCCACAGTTTCACTTAGCACACAAGTGTGTCAGAACATCGTTTCAAAGTTTCCACTTGGCCCTTCCTTGCTGATGGGCACCATGCCGCTCCCAATGCCAACCGACCAAGGCAAGCCGAGTCGAAAATCCTTGTTACCTGCGTTCTTGAGGTCGTCAACAACCTTTCCGCGGAGCGGTCGGATTTGCAGACCAGGCAAGGCTTTCTCGTCTTGGACAGCCCGCACGCTGGGCTGGTCTTTGTGCTCTGCAGGCTGGAACAAAGCGAAGCAGAGATGGGCCGAATTCGCTCCGAACTTGAGAATGCCGCCGCTGCTGCCCAAAAAGCAGAGGCTCAAATCGCGCCTTTGTTACCTGCACGAGATCCATAGCAGTAGGGGGTATCGATGGACATGCGTGGAGTATCGCTGAATGAGTTTGAAATGCCATAGCTGCCATAGTTGAGCTGCTTAGCTGTGGAGGTAGCCAATTCGGAACTGGTGGCCACGCTGAAGGACTCCCAGCATCAGGCTTTTCATGTGGTAGTCCTTGCCCCGGGCTCCGTTTTGGCTTTCGGTGGTCCACACGTCATGCAGGTGGAGGAGCAGAAGAAAGAACTCACTGCCAGTCTGGAGGCTTTGCAGGCTGGCCACATGCGTCCGAGCGGCTGTGCTCACTCCTGCAAGAGTAGCTGAACAAAGCATAAGAAAACTGGATTTTGGGACTTGGAGGCCAGGCAGGCGGCGGAAGAGGAGGCGCGTTGGCCGACCTAGTTCATTCGTTTAGCATATATATATATATAGACACACACCTTTATGGATATGTATATGCGTGGCAGAGTGTCTGGCTTACTTGAGCATGCGTGAGCTGCCGAGCATTGCAGAGCCAGGCCAAGCAGAGCTATGCGACGGCCATGCTGGAAGCCGAGGCCACAGTTTCAGCCGGTTGAAAACACTCCCTTCCTGCTCCACATCCTTTGGTTTGCGTTTTTGCCCGCCCGTCCGTCATTGATTGGTGGTTTCTTCCTGGAGCCTTTCGAGCTATCCCTCCCTCGTGCAAGAAGCCGTGCATCACTGCATGGTAGTCAAGAAGAGGGCAGTGCCAGCGGCTTCAGCGATGCCAGCCCTGCTCGGAGGGCTCCAAAGAAGAGTTGGAGAGGGCCAGCGCATCTGCAGAAGCAATGCAGGAGGCCGTTCGGGAAACTGCATTGCTGAGCCATGATAGCTGAAGTCAGCCATGGCTGATGGCCCTGTAGACCCTGCGAGTCCCGCACCCTGAGAAGTACTTCTAAGTCAAAGTACAATTGGAAGAGGATGTGACAGATGTGACATATAGCGGTGTAACCTCCACAGTTTCACTTAGCACACAAGTGTGTCAGAACATCGTTTCAAAGTTTCCACTTGGCCCTTCCTTGCTGATGGGCACCATGCCGATCCCAATGTCAACCGACCAAGGCAAGCCGAGTCGAAAATCCTTGTTACATGCGTTCTTGAGGTCGTCAACAACCTTTCCGCGGAGCGGTCGGATTTGCAGACCAGGCAAGGCTTTCTCGTCTTGGACAGCCCGCAGGCTGGTCTTTGTGCTCTGCAGGCTGGAACAAAGCGAAGCAGAGATGGGCCGAATTCGCTCCGAACTTGAGAATGCCGCTGCTGCTGCCCAAAAAGCAGAGGCTCGAATCGCGCCTTTGTTACCTACACGAGATCCATAGCAGTAGGGGGTGGGCCTCAACCTTTGTTGAGGTATCGATGGACATGCGTGGAGTATCGCTGAATGAATTTAAACATGCCATAGTTGCCATAGTTTAGCTGCTTAGCTGTGGAGGCAGCCAATTTGGAACTGGTGGCCACGCTGAAGGACTCCCAGCATCAGGCTTTTCATGTGGTAGTCCTTGCCCCGGGCTCCGTTTTGGTTTTCGGTGGTCCACACGTCATGCAGGTGGAGGAGCAGAAGAAAGAACTCACTGCCAGTCTGGAGGCTTTGCAGGCTGGCCCCATGCGTCCCTGTCCTCCCTCCTGCCCCCTCCTGCAAAAGTTGGTTGAAACGGCCTTGTGTTTTTGAGTCTTGGCGTGTCTCGCTGCAACAGTAGCTGAACAAGATTGAACAAGCATGCTCTGAGAGCAAAGTGCCAGTGCGGCTCCGCCTAGACATGATTTCGGCAGTGCGTCGTCAGTTAACCTGACATAGTCAACCTGACATGGTCCGACTCGAAGGCAAAGCAGGCGGCGGAAGAGGCAGCGCACTGGCCGACCAAGTTATTGTAACGTTGTTTAGCACATGGTGTCTGTAGTCAGGCAATGTCAGGCATGTACTTGGCTGCGGCCTTGCAGAGCCAGGTTGGGCAGAGCCCTGCGACTGACCAGCTAGAAGTCGAGGCTTTCGGGCTCGCCTTCAACTATCCAATTGGTTCGAAGCTGTGAAACACAGGGTTTGTGATCAAGACAAAACAGGCAGAGCCAGCGGAGAGAATTGGCATTTGGCACACGTTCCGAACACATTCCGCTGTAATTCATTGTACAGCGCAGTACTTTGATGTATGTTTCAGAGCACTCTGCTCGGAGGGCTACAAAGAAGAGTTGGAGAGGGCCAACGCATCTGCGGAAGCAATGAAGGAGGCCGTTCGGGAAGCTGCATTGCTGAGCCATGATAGCTGAAGTCAGCCATGGCTGATGGCCCTGTAGACCCTGCGAGTCCCGCACCCTGAGAAGAACTTCTAAGTCAAAGTACAATTTCTAAGAGGCCGTGACAGATGTGACATATAGCGGTGTAACCTCCACAGTTTCACTTAGCACACAAGTGTGTCAGAACATCGTTTCAAAGTTTCAACTTGGCCCTTCCTTGCTGATGGGCACCATGCCGCTCCCAATGCCAACCGACCAAGGCAAGCCGAGTCGAAAATCCTTGTTACATGCGTTCTTGAGGTCGTCAACAACCTTTCCGCGGAGCGGTCGGATTTGCAGACCAGGCAAGGCTTTCTCGTCTTGGACAGCCCGCAGGCTGGTCTTTGTGCTCTGCAGGCTGGAACAAAGCGAAGCAGAGATGGGCCGAATTCGCTCCGAACTTGAGAATGCCGCTGCTGCTGCCCAAAAAGCAGAGGCTCAAATCGCGCCTTTGTTACCTGCACGAGATCCATAGCAGTAGGGGGTATCGATGGACATGCGTGGAGTATCGCTGAATGAGTTTGAAATGCCATAGCTGCCATAGTTGAGCTGCTTAGCTGTGGAGGCAGCCAATTTGGAACTGGTGGCCACGCTGAAGGACTCCCAGCATCAGGCTTTTCATGTGGTAGTCCTTGCCCCGGGCTCCGTTTTGGCTTTCGGTGGTCCACACGTCATGCAGGTGGAGGAGCAGAAGAAAGAACTCACTGCCAGTCTGGAGGCTTTGCAGGCTGGCCACATGCGTCCGAGCGGCTGTGCTCACTCCTGCAAGAGTAGCTGAACAAAGCATAAGAAAACTGGATTTTGGGACTTGGAGGCCAGGCAGGCGGCGGAAGAGGAGGCGCGTTGGCCGACCTAGTTCATTCGTTTAGCATATATATATATATATATAGACACACTTTTATGGATATGTATTCGCGTGGCAGAGTGTCTGGCTTACTTGAGCATGCGTGAGCTGCCGAGCATTGCAGAGCCAGGCTAAGCAGAGCTATGCGACGGCCATGCTGGAAGTCGAGGCTAGCTCCTGTTGCCTCTTTGCGCTCTGTGCCTATCGGGAGGCAAACACAGCTTGGTGTCATTAGGCAAAGGCTTCAGAATTTTGCGAGCCTAAGATGATTTTGGGGCGCAGGCATTGCTTTTTCGTCTACTTTAGTTTTACCACTTCGTCCATGATACCTTTCTGCTTCTGTGTACTGTAAGGTTTAGCCGCTTAGCCCCCTTCCTGGCATGAGTTTTTGGGTTTCCTGGCGGGAAGGCTTCACATACAAAACGTTTCGGCGGGGGGGCCGGCGGGGGTAGGATTTCCACCATGCCCATGCCATGCTAGGGGAGCTTTGGTACAAGCATGCCGTGTGGCAGCCAGCACACCCTGCCAGAAACGTGAGCCGCTGGGGTTTGTTGGTCGCAACTGTGTGGAGCGTGGGGTCAACATTCTGAGGTCACGACCTGCTTTGCTTGTCTGGGAAAAGCAGCGATGCCCTTTGGTCTTGCTCGATGCTCAATCTGAGTTACGAGGCCATCAAGGATCACTTGAAAAGTGCCAACGCGTGCGCAGAAGCTATGTGGCAGGCTGGGAATATACACCTAACTGACTTCCAGAGGTGAACAATGTAGATTTCTGTTGGCAGTGACATACGCTGCTGAACATTCGCATGGTATTTTCTTGTAAAGTGGTAGTGGTAGTGTTTCTAGGCAGCACAATCAACTGGATGTTCCAGCTGTGCAAACTCGAACTCCATTCAAAGGCAAAGCAGGAGGCTGAAGAGGAGGCTCTTCGGCCGATCAAGTTAGAAGCTGTCTGCTGTCTACAGCCTGTTTTTGGGCTACCCACTCAAGGTAAAGTCTCTGCAACAGAGATACGATGAGGTCATGTCGGGAGTCGAGGCTGACGGGCGGTTGTATGCATGCTTGCCGAACAAGAGGTAGCAGGTTCAACCTGAGTCTTGTCTCTTGCCGCCAAGGTTCAGAAATTGTCAGTGGTTTGGGTTGCGTTGGGTTTCGCCTGTCTGTCCGCGCAAATGTGCTGTACTATGCCACGTCTTGTTCTTCACTATCCGTTCAATGGTTCTAGCCGTTTTGGAGGGCTTCAAGGAAGTACTGGACAAGTCCAACGCAGAAGCCGAAGCGATGAAGCAGGCCCTTCAGCATAGTCCAACCTTTGTGGAGAGCATGCGTTGCTCCTATCTCGGCTTGTCGATTCGTATAGCTCGATTTAAAGGCGAAGGAGCAGGCAGAAGAGGAGGCTCGCTGGGCGAACTTCCCATGAAACTCTCAGGGTCACGGGCATGTCCCATGTGATCCCATGTGTCCCTCAGGGGCTCTCTCGAAGAGCCCCAAGACCTAAACTTTTCTGGAAGGCGCAAATGCCCAGGTATGAGAACTAAACCCTGAAACGAGTTGGCGTTTAAGTAAGTTTGCAATCTGAGCAGAGCCAGGGAAAGCTGATGAGCCAGAAATATGCTGCTGCCATGTTGGAAGTCGAGGCTGAGGGGCTGTTGTATGCACGCTTGCCGAACGAGAGGTAGCAGTTTCAACCTGAGTCTTGTCTCTTGCCGCAAAGGTTCAGAAATTGTCACTGGTTTGGGTTGCGTTGGGTTTCGCCTGTCTGTCCGCGCAAATGTGCTGTACTATGCTGCGTCTTGTTCTTCACTATCCGTTCAATGGTTCTAGCTGTTTTGGAGGGCGTCAAGGAAGCACTGGACAAGTCCAACGCAGAAGCCGAAGCGATGAAGCAGGCCCTTCAGCATAGTCCAACCTTTGTGGAGAGCATGCGTTGCTCCTATCTCGGCTTGTCGATTCGTATAGCTCGATTCAAAGGCGAAGGAGCAGGCAGAAGAGGAGGCTCGCTGGGCGAACTTTCTCTTTGGGTGGTGAACGGGCATTTCCCATGAAACCCTCAGGGTCATGGGCATTTCCCATGAAACCCTCAGGGGCTCTCTCGAAGAGCCCCAAGACCTAAACTTTTCTGGAAGGCGCAAATGACCATGTGTGAGACCTAAACCCTGAAACGAGTTGGTGTTTAAGTAAGTTTGCAATCTGAGCAGAGCCAGGGAAAGCTGATGAGCCAGAAATATGCTGCTGCCGTGTCGGGAGTCGAGGCTGATGGGCTGTTGTATGCACGCTTGCCGAACAAGAGGTAGCAGGTTCAACCTGAGTCTTGTCTCTTGCCGCAAAGGTTCAGAAATTATCAGTGGTTTGGGTTGCGTTGGGTTTCGCCTGTCTGTCCGCGCAAATATGCTGTACTATGCCGCTTCTTGTTCTTCACTATCCGTTCAATGGTTCTAGCTGTTTTGGAGGGCGTCAAGGAAGTACTGGACAAGTCCAACGCAGAAGCCGAAGCGATGAAGCAGGCCCTTCAGCATAGTCCAACCTTTGTGGAGAGCATGCGTTGCTCCTATCTCGGCTTGTCGATTCGTATGGCTCGATTTAAAGGCGAAGGAGCAGGCAGAAGAGGAGGCTCGCTGGGCGAACTTTCTCTTTGGGTCTGGTGAACGGGCATTTCCCATGAAACTCTCAGGGTCACGGGCATTTCCCATGTGATCCCATGTGTCCCTCAGGGGCTCTCTCGAAGAGCCCCAAGACCTAAACTTTTCTGGAAGGCGCAAATGACCAGGTATGAGAACTAAACCCTGAAACGAGTTGGTGTTTAAGTAAGTTTGCAATCTGAGCAGAGCCAGGGAAAGCTGATGAGCCAGAAATATGCTGCTGCCATGTTGGAAGTCGAGGCTGAGGGGCTGTTGTATGCACGCTTGCCGAACGAGAGGTAGCAGTTTCAACCTGAGTCTTGTCTCTTGCCGCAAAGGTTCAGAAATTGTCAGTGGTTTGGGTTGCGTTGGGTTTCGCCTGTCTGTCCGCGCAAATGTGCTGTACTATGCTGCGTCTTGTTCTTCATTATCCGTTCAATGGTTCTGGCCTTTTGGAGGGCTTCAAGGAAGCACTGGACAAGTCCAACGCAGAAGCCGAAGCGATGAAGCAGGCCCTTCAGCATAGTCAAACCTTTGTGGAGAGCATGCGTTGCTCCTATCTCGGCTTGTCGATTCGTATAGCTCGATTTAAAGGCGAAGGAGCAGGCAGAAGAGGAGGCTCGCTGGGCGAACTTTCTCTTTGGGTCTGGTGAACGGGCATTTCCCATGAAACCCTCAGGGTCAGGGGCATTTCCCATGTGATCCCATGTGTCCCTCAGGGGCTCTCTCGAAGAGCCCCAAGACCTAAACTTTTCTGGAAGGCGCAAATGACCAGGTATGAGAACTAAACCCTGAAACGAGTTGGTGTTTAAGTAAGTTTGCAATCTGAGCAGAGCCAGGGAAAGCTGATGAGCCAGAAATATGCTGCTGCCGTGTCGGGAGTCGAGGCTGATGGGCTGTTGTATGCACGCTTGCCGAACAAGAGGTAGCAGGTTCAACCTGAGTCTTGTCTCTTGCCGCAAAGGTTCAGAAATTGTCAGTGGTTTGGGTTGCGTTGGGTTTCGCCTGTCTGTCCGCGCAAATATGCTGTACTATGCCGCTTCTTGTTCTTCACTATCCGTTCAATGGTTCTGGCCTTTTGGAGGGCTTCAAGGAAGCACTGGACAAGTCCAACGCAGAAGCCGAAGCGATGAAGCAGGCCCTTCAGCATAGTCAAACCTTTGTGGAGAGCATGCGTTGCTCCTATCTCGGCTTGTCGATTCGTATAGCTCGATTTAAAGGCGAAGGAGCAGGCAGAAGAGGAGGCTCGCTGGGCGAACTTACTCTTTGGGTCTGGTGAGCGGGCATTTCCCATGAAACCCTCAGGGTCACGGGCATTTCCCATGTGATCCCATGTGTCCCTCAGAGGCTCTCTCGAAGAGCCCCAAGACCTAAACTTTTCTGGAAGGCGCAAATGACCAGGTACGAGAACTAAACCCTGAAACGAGTTGGTGTTTAAGTAAGTTTGCAATCTGAGCAGAGCCAGGGAAAGATGATGAGACAGAAATATGCTGCTGCCATGTTGGAAGTCGAGGCTGAGGGGCTGTTGTATGCACGCTTGCCGAACAAGAGGTAGCAGGTTCAACCTGAGTTTTGTCTCTTGCCGCAAAGGTTCAGAAATTGTCAGTGGTTTGGGTTGCGTTGGGTTTCGCCTGTCTGTCCGCGCAAATATGCTGTACTATGCCGCTTCTTGTTCTTCACTATCCGTTCAATGGTTCTGGCCTTTTGGAGGGCTTCAAGGAAGCACTGGACAAGTCCAACGCAGAAGCCGAAGCGATGAAGCAGGCCCTTCAGCATAGTCAAACCTTTGTGGAGAGCATGCGTTGCTCCTATCTTGGCTTGTCGATTCGTATAGCTCGATTTAAAGGCGAAGGAGCAGGCAGAAGAGGAGGCTCGCTGGGCGAACTTACTCTTTGGGTCTGGTGAACGGGCATTTCCCATGAAACCCTCAGGGTCAGGGGCATTTCCCATGTGATCCCATGTGTCCCTCAGGGGCTCTCTCGAAGAGCCCCAAGACCTAAACTTTTCTGGAAGGCGCAAGTGACCATGAATGAGAACCAAACCCTGAAACGAGTTGGTGTTTAAGTAAGCTTGCAATCTGAGTAGAGCCAGGGAACGCTGATGAGCCAGAAATATGCTGCTGCCGTGTCGGGAGTCGAGGCTGATGGGCTGTTGTATGCACGCTTGCCGAACAAGAGGTAGCAGTTTCAACCTGAGTCTTGTCTCTTGCCGCAAAGGTTCAGAAATTGTCAGTGGTTTGGGTTGCGTTGGGTTTCGCCTGTCTGTCCGCGCAAATGTGCTGTACTATGCTGCGTCTTGTTCTTCACTATCCGTTCAATGGTTCTGGCCTTTTGGAGGGCTTCAAGGAAGCACTGGACAAGTCCAACGCAGAAGCCGAAGCGATGAAGCAGGCCCTTCAGTATAGTCAAACCTTTGTGGAGAGCATGCGTTGCTCCTATCTCGGCTTGTCGATTCGTATAGCTCGATTTAAAGGCGAAGGAGCAGGCAGAAGAGGAGGCTCGCTGGGCGAACTTTCTCTTTGGGTCTGGTGAGCGGGCATTTCCCATGAAACTCTCAGGGTCACGGGCATTTCCCATGTGATCCCATGTGTCCCTCAGGGGCTCTCTCGAAGAGCCCCAAGACCTAAACTTTTCTGGAAGGCGCAAGTGACCATGAATGAGAACCAAACCCTGAAACGAGTTGGTGTTTAAGTAAGCTTGCAATCTGAGTAGAGCCAGGGAAAGCTGATGAGCCAGAAATATGCTGCTGCCATGTTGGAAGTCGAGGCTGAGGGGCTGTTGTATGCACGCTTGCCGAACAAGAGGTGGCAGGTTCAACCTGAGTCTTGTCTCTTGCCGCAAAAGGTTCAGAAATTGTCAGTGGTTTGGGTTGCATTGGATTTCGCGTGTCTGTCTGCGCAAATGTGCTGTACTATGCCGCTTCTTGTTCTTCACTATCCGTTCAATGGTTCTAGCCTTTTGGAGGGCGTCAAGGAAGCACTGGACAAGTCCAACGCAGAAGCCGAAGCGATGAAGCAGGCCCTTCAGCATAGTCCAACCTTTGTGGAGAGCATGCGTTACTCCTATCTCGGCTTGTCGATTCGTATAGCTCGATTTAAAGGCGAAGGAGCAGGCAGAAGAGGAGGCTCGCTGGGCGAACTTACTCTTTGGGTCCGGTGAACGGGCATTTCCCATGAAACCCTCAGGGTCACGGGCATTTCCCATGTGATCCCATGTGTCCTTCTGGGGCTCTCTGGAAGAGCCCCAAGACCTAAACTTTTCTGGAAGGCGCAAATGACCAGGTATGAGAACTCAACCCTGAAACGAGTTGGTGTTTATGTAAGTTTGCAATCTGAGCAGAGCCAGGGAAAGATGATGAGCCAGAAATATGCTGCTGCCACGTTGGAAGTCGAGGCTCGAATGCTATTGTTGTTTCGGGCCGTACACGATCAAGATGCGACGCCCGGAGCCGCGCGTCCGCTTTAATCTGGGGGGTTTTCTCAAGGTTTTGGGCTGCTCTTCATGGGGGGGGAGGGGCTTTCCCTTTTGTTTTCTGTATCTGGGTGTCCTGAACTGAAGTCCGAATGCAAACTGTCCGCCTTTAATCTATTTTAATGTGGGGATTCTGGGGGGGTTCATTAATAATTAATCCTAAGTTGCCATTAGACTAGAGAGAATCCAGAAACGAAGGAGGAAGGCGGGGTTTGAGTCGCATGAAAACGAGAAAAGTAATTCTTGCATCTTTCAAAGAAGAGGGAGACAAGTACCGACGAGACCGGGTTTGGAGAGGGCGGGGGCAAATGGGCCGGCAAAGTTCTGAAGTCCAAAGCAGAACCGACTGCTTCTCTTGGGGTTTTTCTTGGGGTCGCTGAGGTTAAGCGGGTTCCAGCGAGATGCAGGATTGTCCCCTTCCAGCTTCTCGTTGACTTGTGCGGGGTGAAAACAAGATTGGGAGAGGAATGGGGGGGATATCGGGGCTGCGCGGCCATGCGATGCAGGCGGCCCGGGGGGTCGGGCCAAGGCGGTCAAGGGCAGGGCCCAAATAGCAGGAGAGGTGACAGGAGGTTTCGTTGGGGGGAGAGTGGTTTGGCATCAAAACTCTGTCGGTCGCGGCGCGTATCTGCTTTTTTTGCATGATCCCAGCTTGTTCGGAGGCCTACAAGGAGGAGTTGATTAAGTTCAGCACGCCAGCAACGATGAAGGCGGCCTTGCGAACTGAACTGCAAGACAAACGTTTGTACTCCTATGCCACGAAGCAGGGCTTGGGTAAGTGAGTAGTCAACATTAAGTGCACGACATGCACGAGTCTGCGAGCTTCAAGAAAGCTGTGAACTGCATCTTTCATGACAGGTTGCAGGCATGGAGATGGCCAAGCTTGACATGAGCAGAACCCAGGCCAGTCAGCGCAAGCTGCAAGCCGAAACATGCTCTTGATTCCATTCTGTGAAGCACACCCCCCAGGGGCCAGAAGTCCAGTCCGAAACTGTCACGGCCTCATCGGGAAGCTGGATGCCGGAGGTGGATTGCGTTGCGATGGCATTGGGTGACGTGATTGAGTCATGATGACCAGTATTGCACATGATACGGACGTCAGGGGAGAGTGGTGCACTGCCTCGCTGATGGCCAATGCATCCAAATGGCTTCTCCAATGTCATGTCTCTCAGGCCTGCTATGATATTTCCACACCGCGCAGCAGCAGGTCTCCTCGGACAGATGGCCCAGAGGCCTTCTTCTGAAAGTCCTTGGAACCAGTCGACCTTGCTCCGAGCTTGTGAGGCAGAAGTGGCCGACGCAGACCGGTCCCTCGCGGCTGAGAACAAGTCAGGCGCTTGGTCCATGCCGGCATCACGCGCCAGTGCCCACAGAGCTGCTCTTGTGCTTTGCTGTGCTTTGCCATACTCCTTCAGCATGAAGCCCGAAACTCTACAGTTCGGCATCGGCCTTGTGCAACGGTGAGTCGAGTTAACCGATCATCCGAGCATCGCTCAGTTTGCTTTGCTCGCAGTACTTCCTCATCAGGCACTCTGTCCTCTTCCCCTTCCTGGCCCTTCCGGTCTCTGCCTGCATCTGGATGCTCTCTATGCAGTCCCATGTCTCTCCAATTTGTGAGTCTCTCTCTCGCTCTCCCTTCATTCATCTTTTTTTGTTTTCCCCTTCTATCTTTCTATATACTATGTAATATCACAGCTCTCTCTCTCTTTCTGTCTCCCTCCCTCCCTCCCTCCCTTCATCCTCTCTCCCCTCCATCTCCTACTGAAGCTCGTCCTTCCTGGTCCCCTTATGCGATTTGTGCATCGATCAATCTTCAGACATACTATCGCCCAACACATTGATGTCCAGCGACCATTACCTAATATGGACCTCGAATGAGTCTTCAAACGGATCTCCCCGCCCAAAATCATTCGGAGGCAAAGTTGTTCGGGTGCCACTGACTCGGATAGACTACTCCCTTGGCAATTCGTTCCCATGGCTGTTTTCAAAAAGCGGCTTGCGAAAATATACGAGGACACACTTCTTGGTTTGTGGCCTTGAATCGGAGTCATTGCCGCTTCCAGTCATGAAGCTCATGAACCTGAACTTCTCATCACTCCTCTGGTTTAGGCTTAAAGTCTAAAGCGCAAGCCCAGCTGTTTGGTTCTTTCTTTGAACAATTCCGTTTCTGGTCTGGGGAGGAGACTATTCTGTGCAGCGGAGAATTCAAGTAAGCACTATCTTTTGAGTTATTCACTTTTCCTTGCAGGCCAGATGTCACAGCACTTCCCAAGTTATCATCAAAAAGAGGTATCAAGAGTCTACATGATTGCTTCCATGTGTCTATCTGTCTTTACCTGAGTCTGCTGGCCTAATTACATCTGTCCACCTGTTCACTCGTGCACCCCGTCTACTTGCTGACGTGCCTGTCTGCCCGTCTACATTGACATCCTGGCCTTCCACCAACTTTTTGCCTGAGGCTGCTGCGGGAGCGGCTGTCTGCGTTCGAAGAAGAAAAGGTGGATGCTTCAGCCGTGCGATTTCCTGTGTCGATCCTGCAGCCTTCCGTTTTCAATGCCAAGCTGCGCAGGCGACTACTCTGCAGGCTCTGCGCGAGCAAGTGATGCAGCTTGCCAGTCAGGGGCTGAGGTTGAGATCAGACACTGGCGAAGAGAGAGAGAGAGAGAGAGAGAGAGAGTAGCCATTTTGGCTCAAGTGCTCAAGCCCCACCCCACCGACCTGTGGGCTCAACCGCAAAAAGTGAAAAGTAACGAGGGCGAAAAGGGCCCGAGCGGAGAGAAAGACAGCCGGGGGTCCGGCCTGAGAGAGTCCAGGGGGGGGGTCGGGCCCACTGCCATAGCCGCCCCTGCTCCACGCATTACATCTTTGCTGCCCTACGCGACATCGAGCCGGGGGCCGTGTACATCATTGCCTCCACGATCGGAGCACGGGGGCAACCGCAGCTGGCCGTGCTGCTCCATTACACGAGGCGAGCGGGGGACCTTATCAACCGCTACCTCAGGAATATCGGCGACACTACGCGACCGGGGGGACGTGCCAGCGACCGACCTCGACCACCACCCTGCCAGGGAGAGTGTCAACTACCTGATCGTGAATTTGGCAGGACACCAGGAACGCAATGAACACACTACTTCAAAGCGGAGGGGGGCTACCCGACAGTTCCCCGGGGGCAAAAAGGAAAATTGAGAAGCAGGAACTCACCATCGACAGCATCAGGGCAGCCATCAAGGAAGAGCTACGGTCAGAGCGAAGGGAGTTGAAAATGGAAATTATGGGGGAGGTCAAGGAGCAACTGGGGGGGACCAACCAACTTCTCCGCGAGCTCCAGGCCCTTCACTCGGCGCAGGCGCAGACCATCCACAGGATGGACCAGGTACAACTGCAGCAACAAGCAGCCACCGAAGCCATCGAAAAGGAGCAGAAGACCATGCACCAGCGCCTCGCACTCCTCGAAGGCAAGTTTGGTCAGCTCAATGGTGGATCCTTGGGGGGTCACCAACCACACCACGGAGAGGAAGACCGTCGACAACCAGCGCTCATCTTGGGGGGATGGGAAGAAGATTCACTTGCGGCAGACACCCTGCAACAGGCACAAGCGACGGCGGCCCAACTCAGGTTGGACATGGACATGGAGCAAGCCTTTGTGCCTGGGATTCGAAGGGGGTATGTGATCGTCCCGCTTCAACACAAGCCAGACGAAGACGAAGAACAACATCGCCGACGAGTACAGGGGGCGCTACAAAAAGTTCGCAACGCAAACCTCGTTTTGGGGGCCAAGGCAGATGGAACGGGGAGGAAGCTGTGGATGGCGTTGAGCCAAAGCCCGGAACGCAGAGCCAAGGCCAAATTGGCAGGCAAAGCCAAACGCCTTGCACTGGAACATGGAGCGGATGCAAAGAAAGTGGAGGCGGAGTTCGCCACGGGCACCGTATGGCTACATGGGGTCAAAGTCTCCTCAGCAACGGCCGCGTCACCCACGAACGAGACCACAAAAGCAGGGGGCGGATGGGTTGACCTGACCAACATTGCCACGCTCTTGGGGGAGGATGCGCAAGCCGTCCAAGCCACGTGGGAGCGGATCAGGCAAGGGCTGTGACAAGAAGAAGAAGAAGAAGAAGAAGGGGAGAACCTCGGTTTCACCACGGCAAACATCACCGAAATGGGGGCAGAATCATGCTCGCGACCTGGAACGTAGGGGGGCTTCAAGTCTCCAGTGTGCTGGATCTCTGCGAAACACTCGATGAGATCCCCTCCCTAAGGGAGCTACACATCCTGCTTGTCCAGGAGGTGATCTGCGATGCAGGACTGAAATTCGAAGACAAAGACCCATGGAGAATCATCGTGGGCAAAAACCCAGACTCATGGAGAGGCAACGCTATATGTTATCGGCTACCGCTGGCTACGCGTCACCACACTGCACTGCACTCCGGGGGGATTAGCGCCACACTGCACTTCCGCGAAGCCCGAGGGCGGGGCTCTGCCAAACACCACACCAACACCCCCACCACCACCGCCACACGGGAGCACGACCGAGAGGCTGCCACCACCACCGCCACCACAAGTATGGGGCTGATATCCGGGCACATCCCGTGGAATGCCACAATCGAAGTCGCAGAACAACACCTATGGGAATGGGGAAAGTCTAAAGCAGGCGAACACGCCACATGCATCCTCGGCTTGGATGCCAACGAATCTTTCCAGGAGGGGGGAGCAGCGCACCAGGGCCACACGGGGAGGGGGGAGGCAATCCTCCACACACTCAAAGCCCTGTCTTTCCGTCTCCCACCCCAGGAGCTCCAAAAGCCCTCCATTTCCCCTACAACCCACTGCTGGCGCCGCGGAGGCTAGACTACATCATGGTGAAGGGGGGAAGAGTAGGGCCAGGCCAAGTCCAAGACCTGCGGGACCTTGCAAGATCGGACCACGAGCCAATCACCACCACCATCCACATACAACACCCGCGCAAGCAAGGAGCGGCCACATGGGGGGCAAGACGCCTCAAAGCACCAGATATCGTTCAAACCCAGCTGCGACACCACGAAAGACTCCAAGCAGTGGCGCAAGCCATCACGGAACCCCACACAGGAAGACTGCCCGCCTTCGAGGAAAGCCAGGAGCTCAAAGATGCCAGAAGCAAAGCACGTGCTACACCAGCGGGGGCCCAACGCAGGCAAGCATGGAAGGCCATCCAGAAGCAGCAAAAGGGCGAGCACAAGATATGGAAACAAACCCTGATCGACCAGGCCAGCCGGCACAACTGGCAAGCCATGCGAACACTGGACCACCTGCGAAAAACACGACACTGGGAGCACCACCTCACAGACGACCCGGAATGGAAAACGCACCTCACCACCCACATGCAAAGCATCTTTGCCAAGGCGGACCCCACAACCACTAGGGAGCAGATGAAAGACCTCCACTGGCAACTCACCAAGCAGTGCAAGCACACGCCATGGCAGCCCTTCAGTGAATCGGAACTCCGGCAGGCCACAGGTGCCTGGCAACCCCGCAAAGCAACCGGACCAGACCTTATTTCCCACGAAGCCCTGCAAAACATGCTGACAACGAAGGTCTGGACGCGAACCATACAAGAAGTGATGGACGACATGCTGTACATGGGGCAAGTTCCGCCCGAAATCTGCGAGGGGGATCACAGTCCTCCTGCCAAAAACCGCACAACCAGCCTCGTGGGGGGACACCAGGCCCATCACCCTCAGCAGCACCGTGCTCAAATGGTTGGCCCAGCTCCTCCTACAAAGATGCCGGGGGGAACTCATCACCAGCCCGCTCCAATGGGCATCTCCAGGCAAGCAGGCGGTGGAGCTCATCTGGGTGTTGCGCCGCATCACAAGACTCGCCAAGGATTGGGGGGAGCCGACATACATCATCAAACTAGACATTCGAAAGGCCTTCGACTCCGTTCTCCAACCCACCCTCGGGGCAATGGTAGCACACAAAGTCGGACACCAGGGGGGGCACCCATGGGAAGCCCGCCTTTGGCTAGGCAAACCAACGGCGCGCGCCAAGGATCACCCGACAGCCCCGAACTCTTTGCGGCCCAGATGGGGGACACCCTACACGAAGCACTGCAAGCAGCAGGGGAACCGCCCAGCACACGCGCACCAGCCTGCCCAATAGGGGGAGGATCCTTCATGGATGACACATACCTGTGGGGCAACCACAAGGCCCACCTCCAAAGCCGCATCACTCACCTTGAAGCCAAACTGGCGACGAAAGGGCTCTTCATCCACCCAAGCAAAACAGCCATAATCACCAACCAACCGGCAGGAGACACCTTCACCATAGGGGGGGAGCAAGTGGAGGCAAAATGGGGAGACACGATCATCACGGTCCTGGGATCACCCCTCAGCTTCAACAACGTCACAGCAGCCATCGCAGGGGAACTCGGGGGGAGGGCACGTAGAGCTTTCCACATGCGCAAGCCAGTCCTGTGCGCCAAAACCCCCCTCAAAGCCCGGCTGCACCTACACGACACCTACGTCAAGAACGCAGCGCTGTGGGGATGTTCCACGTGGCCAGTGCAAGACTTGCTGCTCAAGCAAGCAAACACTATAAAGCTGGGGCAAATACGCCTCATGATGGGATACAACAGAAGACCCACAGAGAGCTGGACAGATTGGAACATCAGAACGCTACGTCTAGCAAGACTAGCGCTCCATCACCACAACATACAGAGGTGGTCGACACACATCCTCCATAAGACCTGGTCACTAGCAGGACACATTACCAGGGGGGAAGGACCCACAACGGAGGTGGCTCGATGGAAAAACATGCAATGGTGGCGCGGGGAGCAACAAAACCCACGGGGGCGAGGCACGCCAAACGTTTCAACCCGAACCTGGACCAGGAGAGGCATATCACCACCATAGCGGGGGACGACTCCGGGGGGAGTGGAGAAGGCTTTCCTTTGAGTTCATAGAGCGGTTCGACACGCCATGGGCATCGGGGAAGCAGGGGGCAATAAGCAACCTCGCAACCACACACAAACACGGGGGGGGAGCACGGAAGAAGAGGCCAAACAGCAGGGCGCTGCGAGACGCGGCACAGCACGAATGTCCCACCCCAGGGGAAAGTCCATATGCACTCTCACAACACCTGGCTGAGGCCGGCGGACTTCCTGATCACCCACCAGACCCCACCCTCACTCAGAGATGACAGAAGGATACCATAGTGCAGCCCCAACCCCGCGCGATTGCCCTGACCCTGACCCTGACCCACGCCCCTCCCCATGCCCCAAGCATGACACACCCGCGCAGCTTCGGCCCACACTGCTCAGCGCACGTCGAGCCACGCCTTGCAAGAAGGTCCAGCCTGACCACGCAGGGGGACATGAAGAAGCAATGGCTCCTGCTGCTGCTGTCGCTGGGGGCAACACGCCCCTCGACCGTCTCATCACGGTACCACCAGACTAGGGGGGCGACAAGACCTTGGAACAAGAGGAACCCGGAGTTTTGAGGAGGGAGATAGCGAGGGGGCGAGCACAACGACGAGCCCGAGCACCGCATCGAGCCCTCCGACTACCATCTCGCCGCCACCTCCCGGCACAACGACGAGCCCGAGCACCACATCGAGCCCTCCGACTACCATCTCGCAC